GATGAAAGAGAAAAGAATAGATCTTCCAGGTCCCTCCCCCAGAGGCCCACCTCTTAAGAGTGCTTCCAGCTACTGAATCATGAGTGAACTCTTAAGTATAGTACTCTCATGATCTAATCATCCTCAAAACACATGAGACTTTGGTGAAACAGTTTAGATATGAACCATATGGTTTAAGGAGATGTGTCTGGTTATCAAGTTGACAAGGGGTGGATTTTGACCATCATTTGTAATATATCAACTTGACTTGTGTAAGAGCCACATAGATTAGTGAAGCACAGTTCTGTGTGTGTTTGTAGATGACTGACTGAAGGGGAAACACCCACTCCCTGCTCAGGATGTGGGTGGCATCAAGAAACTTGCAGCCTGGATGGGAAAGAAAAAGAGAAAGAAGAAGGCAGTGTGCTTATTTAGAACAGCTCTATTCCTCACCATTGTCTTTCGGCATCAGTCTCCAGTTCTTTCAGTCTTTCAGTGTAGACTCTTCACTGACCTTCTAGGCTTTGGTCTTTGACTTGTGGTGCATCCTTTATACCTCTTGGCTTCCATCCTCTTAGGCTAAGCAGCTACTGGGTCTTCTGGCTCTCTGGCACACAAATAGCCATTGCACATTCCTCCTCTTCCATTTGATGGAATGGTGGCCTTCAATAATTGCTTGTGTTCTTCATGTTCGTGCTTTTCTTTTCTTTCAAAGATCTCCATACTCTTGTCTTCTAAAGCAGTATGTGTGGTCTCCATGCAGCAAAGCAGTTTTGAACATCTCATGGCTTTGGCTAGCTCATCACGTATTACACAAAGCACAATTGGAGAATGTGAATCAACTACTTTCTTTCCAATGCAGCTTTCTCTTTGGTTGGCAGTCTTAGCATCTTCTGCTGTCTCATCATCGAGTCTCTCTCCCTTTTCAAATGTCAACTTTCCAGTGACATTTACTTTTACTCATTTTGGATAGGGTTAGCTTGTAGGCTTACCAAAACTGTGACTCAGTCAACCGCTCAGTGTCAGAAAGAAGCACAGGCAACTGCAGTAAATAAAACAATAGCCAGGCCATACATCAGGTAAAATAAGTGCTGGATTTTAAAGCAAAGCCTGCTACCAGATGAAGCTGTACTTGAAGTACATCAACTGACTCCTGATGCAATGTCTACTACCCGATGCAGCATCACTGTCACTTGCCGCTCGCCGTTAGGGTTTTGATCTGACTCTGCAAGCAACTGATTTATGATGGTCTCTGTACAGTCAAATCTCCCTGCTAATGTGAATCTATTTGCAGCTGCTCTACCTCAGATCATCAGGCACTAGATTCTCACAAGGAGCAAGGAACCTACACCCCTCGTGTGCCCACTTCACAGTAGGGTTCATGCTCCTCTGGGAAGATAAAGCTGCTGTTGATCTGACAGGAGGTAGAGCTCAGATATGAAGGCAAGTGGGTGGGAGCAGCTGTAAATACAGATAAAACTTTTCTCCCTTGCCTGCCACTCACCTCCTGCTCTGTAGCTCAGTACATGTCCATAGCCCAGGGAGTTGGGGCTGTGTGCCTTAAAACATTGCAGGTTCTCATGCATGAGATGCTATTGCTCAGGTGAAAACAACAAGATAAGAAAGTTGGTATGGTAACTCTGAATGACAACTTAGTTTAAGTGCTCGTGTTGTCTATGAACTTCTTTTTTTTTTTTGGTACCGGGGATCGAACTTGGGACCTTGTGCTTGCAAAGCAGGTGGTGGCACCACTGAGCTAAACCCCTGGCCCGCCTCTACAAACTTCTACCCTTTTGTCATGTCTCCAAAACTTACAAGAAACAAAATGTCATTAGCATTTGAATATTTGCAATAAACTTTTTTCATTTTATAATTTTCTAAATTTAAGCTACAATAAATTCAGTAGAAAAGCAAAATAGGGAAAGCAGACAACAAACAAAGAAAAACTGAATATGGTGATATTTTTCAAGTTTATTATGATATAAACATAGGCAACTGAATTTTTTGCCAAGTGTGGATAAGCTAACTTGAACTGTCAGGATCTACTGAAAAGATGGCTTATGAAGGAAAAAGTCAAACAAAATGTCTTCAGGAAAAATAAGTCCCTGGGGTCTGGGGAGAGCAAACCAGTATCAAGAGAAATGCAGGCTGGACTCACTGTACAGATATATTTAACCATTTGTCTGCGCAGCCCTGAGGATGACATCCTGGCTCAGTTGTCTGGCCACTCAGTGGTGTCGTGGCTTCTACCGTCTTCTGAGTTTTGTGCTCCAATTTTTGACAGTGAAGGAGAAAAACTGTAACCAGCACTGACAATTTTAGTTGAGAGAGAAAAAAAAGCAAAAACCCCCAGAAACAGAAAGCAGCCTCTAGCACAGAATAGGGTTCTTGACTACAGGAAGAGTGGCATGGTTTCCTGGAATCCAAGACAGTGGCTGCTAGAGCTCACTTGGGCTTTGTAACCATGGTTTTCCAAGGCTGAGCTGTATAAAAATAGAATACTTAGTTAAAAAATAAAACCTGACAAATAAGCCACTGTTGTTTCTTTTTGCAGAGGAGCTGCCTCAGGACGCCCAGAGTGCAATCCCATGTTATCTGCTGAACGTTCCCCACATGTAATGAGTTCCCCTGGCACAGGCCATCTGCTTCCTTCGAGTCCCAGGGTGACTCTCAAGATGCTCAGTGAATGGCACCCAGAAACCACGGAAGCTGCTCCACAGAGAGACTTTCTTGGTTTCAAAAGCTCTTCCTCTAGCCGGAGGGAATATTTAGTATCCAAAGAGTCCCTGTATTCTTCCCTTCCTTGTCCCAGTCCTGTAGCAAGTAGAATGACCACAGGCTGATGCCTTCTCTTCATGACCCGAGCTTGTGAACATTTGTGATCCATGGGCCACATCTCTGACTTCTACCTCTACTTTTGCATTGAGCCACGAATTCACAAGGAGAGCAGTAAGTGAGACTTGGGAAAAGCTTTCAGCGGTTAACAGAAGGTGCCAACTGAAGAATAACACACCCATATGTGTTTTATTGTGCTTAAAGGGTCAACTTATACTAAACTGGAAAGGATCCTGGTTACTGAGTACTATTCTTCTTCAAAGATTTTTTGTTTTCCTGCTAATTTCAATAAACCATGACTTCCCAGGATTAAACAGTATCTTGACTAATACGACAATAAACAGCGTGACTCTGCTACTCACCATCTAGGCTCCTTTAGCTGTATTCTTGTCTTCAGACAATTTATAATCCATAGAGACACAGTTTATAAAGCTTCATAGAGCATGTTTACAGCTACTTTCTGTGCTATATATATTAGGGTCAAACAGCTTTCCCTATCAAGAAGTGGCCTCTGACACCTAATGTTAAATTTACTCTTTTGCATCTCCATCCGATTTCCTTTCATATCTTGCTCAGAAGTGTTGAAGCATTACTGCATACCAATTTTTAATAAATAACTTCTGTAGATTTCCTCCATGAAAAAATGGTATTCATCTGAAAAATAGATAAATTAAACATAATTTTAAAAGCACAAAAGGAGCTTACTTTTGAAATGTACCCAATAGTAAATCATTTTGTAATGTGCCTCATTCGCTTCGCTTCCATCAAAATGCACTTCTGAAGCAATTCCATCATTCTATTACTAAATTTAATTTTTTACAAGTAACCTATTACATAATTATATGTTGGTTAGTAATAGGGTGAAAGCTACAGGAAAAGTTGCACTACCAGTATATTTTCCAATTATTGTTAATAGCATTAAGCTTTCTTGCACTGTTATAGTAGTGTAATTCCAATGTTAGAATGTAGTTCAATTATTTTGTTGCTTGCTCCTGTCACATTCATAGACATCTAGAAAAATGAGGCAGAGGTTAAGAACACTCATGCCTTCCATTCTCTGAAGGAAAGCTCACTGTGGTGCTCCAGTGTTTTTCTTGCTAATGGGTGATTTGTATAATGGAGTAACAATTTGCAAGGATTCTACCAATAGATATTTGTAGCCTACCTTGCAGGGGCTACCATGTGGTCAGAAAGAGTAGGAATGGGTGGTTCCTGTCCAGCTGTAATGGGACAGTTCTACAAAGCAGTTTTGTGTACAGCAAGGGACAGTCACAGGAATCAGAAGACATGGGTTTTGGTTTAGTCCTTTGACACTATGTGTCTGTGGTCAGCTCGCTAAACAGAGTGGAACTCAGGTTCTGCATCTGATAAGAAACACTAATCTTTGTCCTTCCTGTTTCATTGATGCTAATAAAATTAAATAATGTATGTGAATATGTTTTGCCATTATAAATGAATGAAAAAGTGGTTACAATTTTTAAAAAGTCAATGAACAGTTCTGTGCTACCTACATGTACAAGGATATATTGGTTTCAGAGAGAGAAGGTAAGGAAAAAACATTTTACAGAAAAAATGGTTTTGGAAAGTGAGTATTATCTAGGGAAGAAAAATGTAAGACAAAGTTGAGAAGAGCACCATCAGAATCAAAAGACTGGAATGAAAAAGCAATGTATAAGCCATAGGAACAAGACACCATAGTAGCAAACAGCAAGTTTTACCCAAATAGAAGCTCAGAAATTAGTGAGTAGATGTGGTGCCTGGGATTCTGCATGATACCACTGAACAAATGTATTCAACATTTTTGAAATTATAATAGAAGTATTATACTTAGGAGCATGAAGTTTTGTATCAACAATTCTGTGATGTTATCACAACACCCATATAGATATGGGGAAACTTGTGTTAGAAATATTCAACCTTTGCTCAAGATAAGATAGCACATGATAGGAAAAGGAAGTGAGGTTACAGCATTTGACTCTGAAAGCCATGTACTTTATTCTTCCTGAGAAAAGAACATTTCTCTACCATCTCCTCCCCAAAGAAATAAGTATGAATGTAAACATAAAATGAGTAGAAATCTGTGCTAGGTTGACCACAAGAATTTGCCCAGCCTACTATACGTGACAGAATTACCCATATCAAGTCCTTGTGTACTTTTTTCTTTCTTAGACACTATCCATGAGCTCATGAAGAAAGAGAATCACACTGTGGTGAGTGAGTTTGTTTTTCAGGGTTTCTCCAGCTTCCACGAGCACCAGCTCACACTCTTTCTTGTGTTCCTGGCACTCTACATATTGACCCTGGCAGGGAACGTCATCATCGTGACCATCATTGGCCTCGATCGCTCTCTGCACACCCCCATGTACTTCTTCCTGAGCATGTTGTCAGCTTCTGAGACTGTGTACACACTGATCATTATACCGAGGATGCTCTTTGATCTCATAGGCCTGAATAAGCCCATTTCTTTAGCAGGCTGTGCTACTCAGATGTTCTTCTTCATCACACTGGCCATCAACAACTGCTTTCTGCTCACGGCAATGGGGTATGATCGCTTTGTGGCTATTTGCAATCCCCTGAGGTACTCAGTCATCATGAACAAGAGCATGTGCATCCAGCTTGTGAGGGGGGCCTGTGGAACCGGTCTAATTGTAGCAATGATACAGGTGTCGGCCGTGTTCAGGTTGCCCTTTTGTGCCACTGAGGTAGCCCACTTCTTTTGCGACATCCGGCCTGTGATGAAGCTCTCCTGCATCGACACTACTGTCAATGAGATCCTGACCCTGATCATCAGTGTCCTGGTGATTTTAATTCCCATGGGCTTGGTTTTCATTTCCTATATCCTCATCATCTCCACCATCCTCAGGATTGCTTCTGCGGAGGGCCGGAAAAAGGCTTTTGCCACATGTGCTTCTCATATCACGGTGGTCATTGTCCACTATGGCTGTGCCTCCATCGCCTACCTCAAGCCCAAGTCAGAAAACACCAAGGATGAGGACCAGTTGATCTCTGTGACCTACACTGTCATCACCCCCCTCCTGAACCCTGTGGTGTACACCCTGAGGAACAAGGAGGTCAAGGATGCTCTGTGCAGGGCTTTTGGCCGAAAACTGTCTTGATGGGATGAGTCATCACAAACAGGGTCTTACAAGATTTCTTAGACAGGGAAAAGTGGGGCTATGCCACAGTCACTACGACTCTGGTGTCCATTCAGAAGTGGTTGGGTAAGATGAAGCAAGAACAAAGAAACTACAGATTCAGTGCTTGAAAAGGGGAGACAGTTCTGCAGAGCACAAACAAGACTGCATCTCACAAGAGACCAGCAGTAAAGAACTCACTGGTATTGGAAAGTGGATGGGTTGTCAGGGTAGCTTGGGACAGAGAAGGATCAGGATTGCAGACAGTATTGGTGAGGATAGGCTGCTCTGAAGTGGGGTAAATCTTTATATATTTTTTATTATAACACTTGTTTTTTGACCCAGGTTCCCCTTTACCCATTCAGAAATGTGTAGATTTAACAACTATCTGAAGTCATTCCTTCATGGACATTTCAAGTTCTTTTGCATCAGAGATACCATAAATAAAATGGATACTAGAAATAAGCATCTATAAAATTCAACAGTCCTTAAAGCCTGGATCTTGTTCCTGTAAGTTTCAGGTTGGCCATATGGGAAAATCTATATTTTTCAGGATCGTGTAAGAGAAATATTTTTGGAAAGTGATTAAAATCCCTTGGTGATCTAGTTAACAAAAGAGGAAGCACCAGTAATCATATTAGCATTTACATTATGAGGATATACAAATGTTTTCGGTGATACTATATATGAGGGTTTGAACCCAGGAAAAAGAAATTCTGATTTTGGGTTATCCTTGGAGAATGAACAGAAGCTACTAGTAAATAGTAATGCAAGAGGGAAATCTAGAGTAGGAACTAGGGGGATGAGAGGACTGAGATGAACTGGATAAGGAAGTAGTCATCTGGTAACTCTGACTCAGTAAGAGAAAAGGCTCATTAAACCATCAATCTTATCACTTAAAGTGCTCTAGAATCTGAGTTAATACGTCGCCTTGCACTAGTCATCTCATCTTCCAGCAACCCCCTTCGCTACAAGCAGTCACTCACCTCCACACAGCCCACAGTTCAACAGTACCTAGTAATGTGTAGTTTCCCTTATCATATCATACTCTCATAACTTCTTATAGTTCACTATCACCTAATGGACAGCACTCACTGCCATCCTCAAGTCTTGCTCAGACAGGGACGTCTACTCATTCCAAAACACCAAATGGAAGTATTCCTGTATGAGTCCTCTAATAAAATATCCTAGAAGAAGATATACGCCCTCACATCCTGACTTCCAACTCAAACATCCACATATGACTACAGAATACACCTCCCGTGACATCTGTGTAGATAATACTGTGAAATGGGCACTGAGTAAAGTAATAACCGGGTGGGATCTTTGCCAGAGGGACAGTTCCACCCAATGTTTAATGTTTCACCAAGTGATATGTTTTGCCCAGAGTACAAGTTCCTTTATGCTAATTTCAAAATCTAGGATTACATCTGCCTAGTTTGATTTTCCAGATAACTCACGAAGGTTCAGTCTTGCACAGGTAGATAGATAGATAGATAGATAGATAGATAGATAGATAGATAGATAGATAGTTCTCAAACTTGAAGTCAGGCTGCATTTGGCAATGATCACTTTTACTTTTATTAAGTAAAAAAATGCCTTGTTTATATTTTTGACAGTAGCCTTGAAAATGCTGTCCTGTTTCTTTAATCTTCTCAGTAATAGATAATCTATATCTGCAAACTTAGCTACTTTAAATGTTAGGTGGTAGTTTTTAGAGATCAGCAGAATTCAGTGGAAAGAACACAAACACTGGAATAAAAAGACTTCATTTTGACTTCTGAATCTTGTTCTTATTCATCATATATATTTGAGTGAGTTGTTTAATTTCTCTTAGTTTCAATTTCCTCATCTTTAAAACTTGTATGCAGTTTCTTGTTAAACACATGAGGCATTAAGTGTAAAAATCCTTTCAAAATGACAAAACAGGGACAAATATCCTTTATCCTCATTAGAGTAAAAAAGTACTTTTATAACTATAAACTTCATCTTTCTTTATCTGCAAAATGGGGTGATCCATCCCTGCTCTCTTTTCCCCATCGAACCATACACTAAAATAAACACGGCAGGAATTGTTGCAATAACGACAAAAAGGGTTGAGAAATACAGTGTATTATTTCCACGGTCATTATGTTTTTAGCTAACATATCTCCTAAATTCTTACCTCTCTAAGTTTTTCTGGCCATTTTATATTATTTCACTAATTGCTTTCAACTCTTACCTTCCTCCCACATACACCCACATCTTAATTATTATTCCATCTGTCATTGTCTTCAGGTCATGTATTTTTGGTCCCCTGAAAAAACAATATTTCCAAAGCCTTGCTTTTCTGTCTTTGGTTATCAATTCCTGTAGTTAATGCTTGGCCTTTTGTCCCATGTTAATTTCTTCCATCTACTTCAATGAACTTCAAACTCTGTCATGACCCTTGGCTCTCCAGTATAAAATGTTATAACATGATGATATCTCTCTGTGTGTACATGCACATGTACATACATAAAAACAGAAGCACGACATTCGAAAAACTTAGCCTTACCTCATTTTTTTCTCCCCAGTTACTCTGTTCTCATTTATTTCATCCTATATAATGCTAATGAACAGAGGGGCATCTATGTACATTTTGACTAGTTAGCAATTGAGAGTCAAAATCTGCTTTCAACTCAAGTCAGTCAGTGCTGAAACCCACTATTACAAGTCTGTTATTTCTGGGATACTAGAATAAAATTAAAATAGTATTTTAAGAATTTGGGTTTTCAGTAATCATACTTAAACATTTGGCATTTTAGAGGAGAGACATTTAGTCTTCATTGTCAGCTTCTAGATCATTCTAGCAGGCACAAAAATACATATTCATGACATTAGGTAGATGTTCGTTTCTCAATTGAGAAACTGAGTTTGATGGAGAAGTAAAATATCGTGAGAGAAATACTTCATTCTTCTTTAACACTTTCTTCATATTCTTTATTAGATATAGATTAAAATAATTTATCCCAAGTATTGTCCTATACATTTTGGGAAGTAAAATTAAAATTATGCAGTAAATTCATCCATCAAAGTTATGAATATTCATTACTTAAGTGGAATTAAGAAACTATAAATTAATAACAATACTTCAAGTTTCTTTAATTTTATCAATTTTAAATTTTATTAATATTTATTGGCTTTACAGGGATATATTTTTCCTTCTTTTTTAATTTTTAAAATTAATTTTATTGGTACATTTAATGTATTTAATGTATGTATTTAATGTATTGGTACATTTAATATAATAGCACTTATTGTTGGAAATTTTCACCTTTACATAATCCATCTTGGTTCTTATTTTTCCCCATTCTCCTGCCCTCCCTTCAACCCCTCCACCTCTCCCTATCTACAAAGACTTTGTTTCTATTATTTTTCATTTTCTCATATTAATTCCATTCCCTTCTTTCCTTTCCCCCACACCTCCCATTTCCCCTTCCCCTTTGTCCCTTTTCTTCCTATTTCACATTATCTATTACACCTTTTAGTCCTTATTGACACTTTCAGTTTCTCACACTAGAGAAACTATTCAGTATTGAAACACATATGTCCTATGGGGAAATAATTAGAACCAACATCTGTCATGTAAAGGTACAAGATCCCAATGATAAATGTAATTGTACTGTATATTTAAAAAGTACCAATAAGCTCAATAAGATTTTTAAAAAAGGAAAAAAAAAAGAAAAAAATTCAGCACAAGGGACTAGATAAAGAAAATGTGGTTTTTTAAATAAAATGGAAAACTACTTAGCAATAAAAAATGAGAAATTAGAGACTTTATAGCTAAATGGATGCACACTGAGGCAATACCCTTAAGGGATACATTTTTCTAAAGCTGTCCAATAACCAACACATTATCTCTTAATATATCAGTCAGTTCTTTCCTATTTATTTAATTATTTAAAACTCTCAAATTTCTCCAGAAAATTAACAGTTACTTTAAATAATTTTGAAATTTACTCAAATATTAAATATGATGTATATTTCAATTGAATAATAGAATGCTAACATATAAAGCATATAAAGCTCATTCAAGCCATGCCACAAATAGAATGAACAACTAACTATATTTGAAAATGCACCTTGAAATGTTAAATTCACATGACTTGTTTATTTAGATCACTGATACTGTTAGACTGATTAGAGCCAATAATGAATTCAACCGATGATCACTGTTCATCTGCAAATTCAGGGATGCTAAAAAAAAAATGTGTAGGAGAAGAATTTCAGCCACAGCAAAGTAGCAGAGTTTAGCTAACTAGCTAGTGTAAATTAAATTTGGAGGTATCCCTAGTTTGAATCCTTAACCTCATTGAAAGCACGGGGAGATATGGGCATCACAGGACAACACAGCGTGTATGAGGAACTCATTGAGTTGGCTGAAATGGTAGGAGATACTGGAGAAGGACACCTCTTTTTCTTCTTTTATGGAATAAGATTATATTATTTGGCAATATCTGGCTTGCAAAGCAATGCACACGTTGTGAAAAAATTAAAAAAATTATACTCAAGAAAATGGAACCTTTGATTTTTAGGTGCTTGGTATAGCACAGTGAGAACATCCAGCATTTCTCCTTTCCACGTCTCCAACTCCATCCCTATCAAATGCTAGAAGTGATAGACTTTTTTCTCCAAGTACAGGGATTGAGTCCAAGGCTTTCACAATGAGCTACATCCCCATCCCTTTTTCTTTGGAGTCTGGGTCTCACTAGATCTTTAAGTTGACCAGGGTGGGCTCAAACTTGTGATCCTCCCAGAGTGCTAGGATTACAGGTGTGGGCCGCTATGCCTTGTTCAAAAAGACTTTTTAAATAAAGAGGACAGCCAGTCTTAAAACTAAAAATGGAATTCTTAGAGGATCACAAATCATGAAGTATAAAATAAATACTTAAGTATAGTTAGATAAATAAGGAATCTCCAAGGTGTGTGTGAGCTAAATGGGGGAGTCCTGAAGCCCAAACTGGGGTGC